GTTATTACCAGTATTCTGTGTGTGTTTTGTTTAAAGTATGTAGTGAAACAATAATGTATTGTTATGTACTTTTGTACACAACATTATTATTTTCAAGCCTGGGAGGAACTCGACTACTTATCCAGACATGACTACATAACCAATCGCAACTGGGCCCAAGGTGTACGGAAGGGAGAAAGTCGAGTGTAGCCTAGATGGCATTTCTGCACATCCATCTCTTGCTTGATACCTGCTTGATGGGGTTCTGGGAGTTCTTCTACTCCCCAAGCCTAGCCCAAGGCCAGGCTTGCTTGTGGGAGCTTGGTCCAACAGGCGGTTGTTTGGAGCGGCCCACAGGCCCACATATCCACCACAGCCCGGTTGGTCCGGCACTCCTTGAAGAAAACTATCTAGTTTTCTCTTGAAGATGTCCACGGTTGTTCCAGCAATATTGCTTATGCTCGCTGGGAGGATGTTGAACAACCATGGACCTCTGATGTTTATACAGTGTTCTCTGATTGTACCTTTGGCACCCCTGCTCTTCACTGGTTCTATTTTGCATTTTCTTCCATATCGTTCACTCCAGTATGTTGCTATTTTACTGTGTAGATTTGGGACCTGTGGGGATTTGCTCTACATCTGTCGGGGGGTTCGGTTTCTCATCCCCTTGGAAGGTAGACTTGGCAGACAGTACTGCTGGTATCGTTTCTGAGTGGTCATGACAGAGGTGTCAATGGCCAAGACCACCTGCCTTTAGCTTTACAAGATGTTTGGCCAACCACATGTGGACCTGTTCACCTTTGCATGGAATTGACAGCTTCAGGTCAAAGTTAAGTGATTTCTGGATTGTGAAGTTTAAGGAACTGATGTATTTTGCTTGGACTAGTCAGTTTACCTTTACCTCTTCCCCTTTGATGCAGAACGAAACCACCTTCTGGCCCCAATGTAGCCAGTTCAGCCCTGCCTTCCTACGCTTCTGGATTGTTGCCCTAATTCTATCCAAAACCTCTGCCTCATCCAGCCAACTGGCAGCTTGATCTATCTGGATGGTTCTAGGCTCTCTGCCAATTTTCACAAAATGTTTGTTGATCTTGTATACCATCACTTGTATGGGGCTCAGGTAGTGGCTCTATTGTTGTATTTGTGGCTTTCTTCATGGAGGCTATAAAAAGTGGCATGGCATACCTAATGCCTCTTCTTCCTTCTCCTGTATGTGAGTTTGTCGTCGTAATTTTTTTTTCATGAATTTTCTTGGATCACTAGATGATGCCTAACACTGTCACCTCATGTCATTCAGCCCTGGCAGAGAGAAGTCTTGCTGGCATTTAGGGTTTATGTTGCTTTGCTTCCCTTTTCCAGCTGTCTCGGGTTCTTTTGACCTCTTGTCGACTCATACCCCTCCAAAGCCTTCGTGGTTGTTGAATCAAGTTTAGTTGTTTTTTTCTTTATTTAGAAAGTGAAGCCTTGTTTAGCGAGTGAGAAAGTGAGGCCAACCAGGCCTCGCCTCCAGGAGTACTAGTCAGGGACAGGGCCGCAGGGACATTGAGCCCCTAAATCAATGCAAGGTAAGAGTTTCTTTCAGAGTTGAGATTTTCCTTTTTAAAGGCAGATTTTTATACTGCCTTTGTTCCAGCCTTCAGAGTGGGGAGCCTACTTTCTTTTGAAAGCAACTGTTAAGTCCTGGTCTTCATTTTCTATGCTTCTAACCTGCTCCATTGTTTCTGGCTAAAAGACATCTGCTTTCTGGAGGGGTTTGTTGGTTATCAAAGCCCAATTTGTTCAGCTGGAGATGCATCATATGCACTGTCCTGTGGTAACAATGCAGTGTTATTGATGCACTATTTGTGCTGTTGTGGGTTAACATCTGGTCACTCACTTTCCCCATTTCAAGCTGTCTCTTGAAGGTCATTTTGAATGGCTTAGCTCCACTGATAATATGCAGAAGTTTGCAAGTTTGCAGCTTTGTCGACTTTCCCAGTATGTCCATGCCGAATATCTGGGATCACTGCTTCTGATGGTCTAACCGGGTATTTGCCTCACTACTTGAATGCTCCATGACCTCACCTTGGGCATTTTGCATGATGCTTATGTTCTTCCCTGTGTTTTCCTTTCCTGCTGTCTTCTCCCACAGCTAAACCAAATCCATTTTTTATTATTTATCCTTTGTTTCCCCCTCTCAGAAAATCTGGCCGCCTCTGTTGAGGCACCTTTGAGAGTTAGCCATGAGGAGCTACTGAAGTGGCCCTCCTAGAAATCAAGCATTGATTAATGAAACATCCTTTCCTGGTGAGTTACTCATAATTTCCCATTCCAGCTTAATTCCCTTCATCCCAGTGGGTGTTAGAAGTGTGTCTGTTCAGGCAGTATGTCAATGAGGTTGTCAGTGATCTCAAGTGACCTGGGATGCCATCATCTAAAGGTGCTCAGGGAAATGGCTGCATGTTGATTTCTTATTCCCAAGCTCTCTCTTGCCTCGTAGAATGAGCTATCACCTGTTAGGTTCAGCTAGGGTTTCAGAGGCTGGTGCAAGTCCCTAAGACTTGACAGCACCAGTACTATAGCTGCAGGGAGCTACTGAGTTACCCATCATTTTATTCAACATTTGATTTTTGGCCTGGATTATATATTTGTTATGTTCCCATAAGTTGAGGGAAAGGCATCATATAAAAAAGATGTCAACACAAAATGTCCAGAATTAATTACACACAGAAATCACAATAACGTGATGCATCAATGAACAAATCCACAAGGGCCGTGACGAGGATTCGAACCTACGTCCGATAGCATCCCGAACGCTGCCTTCATCGACTGAGCTACAACATGGTCAAAAAGAGTTGAAACCGAAGTTCTATTGAACTTACCGGATCCACTTCGGTTTTAACTGTTTTGACCATGTCGTAGCTCAGTCAATTAAGCAGCGTCTGGGATGATCTCAGACGTAGGTTCGAATCCTCGTCACAGCCCTTGTGGATTTGTTCCAGAATTAATTTTTAATGCGGCGGCGCCACCCACATTGTAGGCACATTGTTTTGGCTCCACTCGTCCGACCGGTGAGCTCTCCCCTCGCCTCACAAACGTGAGGACATTCCACCTATTTTTCGTGGTTATATTTCTTAGTGCAGCTTTAGATACTATCTGCATTTACTCCAAGATGGATAGTGATCAAGAAAAGAGCCATTCCAGAAAGAAATCAGCGAAAGAAACACGAGAGAGAGGCTAAGTAGTGTACATCAAAAGTACTAGTACAGTCGAGCAAGACTCACACCATCCAAATTCCAGGCTGTTATTGATGAATTATCTGATTTATCTGATGATGAAAGTGTTGGTGATAGTGACAGTGATGTAGTGAGTGATTTACTTGACACTGAAACAGCAGATGATGATTTTGATAGTGATGGAAGTGACAATTGTGATGTTCAGACGGCCATACATGCACGGCGAGGTACTGGTACCGCGTCTACCTCACGTACCCCACCAACAGGTTCTGATGAAGGCTGGTCTACTGACAATACTCCACCCTTTGTAGACAATTTTACCGGAATACCAGGCTTGACTGGTATTCCGCATGACAAGTGTCTATGTCTCCTATCTTTCCTAGTAACTTGGCATCATCAGCAAATATGTTCATATAATTCTGCATTCCTTCTGGCAGATCATTTATGTAGACAATGAATATTACTGGTGCAAGATTATATTACTGGTGATTACTGGTGCAAGTACCCTGTGGTACTCCGCTAGTACCGCCCTCATCTTTCTGTCGGACAATTTTTCAGCCATGTCAGCAGTCCACCCCCCCGTCACCCTTCCAGTATGTTCGTTTCCAAAACAACAACTTGTGTGGGACCCCTGCCAAAAGCATTTTTTAGGTCCAGATATACACAGCACAACCATCTCTTTCCTGTATAATTTCTGTTGCTCTATCATAAATACATTGTAGATTTGTTACACAGGATCTTCCTGTTTGAAAACCATACTGTCTGTGTTACAATGTCATTATGCTCCATGTATTCTACCCATGTGGTTTTAACTATTTTTCCAAGTGTTGTGACTACCATGCTTGTTACATGATACGGGTCTATAATTTAGAGAGTCTTCTCTGCAACCATTTTTGTAGATTGGAACCATGTTTGCCGTTTCCAAATATCTGCCAAGTTTCCTGTGCAAAACATTTTTGGGAATATGAGTTGAAGTGAAATGCTCAACCTAGTTGCATATTCTTCCAACATCCAAGGTGAAACTCCATCGGGTCCAACTGCTTTATTTCTTCCTAGCCACTCTAGTAATTTTTCCCCTTCTTTTCAGGACACCTCTAAGTACTCTATGGTGTTCTCTGGGATTGACATTGTGTTTGGTTCTCAGAAAACCTTATTTTGCACAAACATACTTTGGAACAGTTCATTTAGTATGTTGTGTGAAAGTGTGCACGCACCCTGCCTACCTACCTGCCAGTCAAGTCATCCTGCAACCCGTTCTCGCAAATTTAATAAGTCAATATTGACTTATTAAATATGTGCATAGGTGACATACTTAACATAATAGTTTCCCTTGAAAAGCTTCATAGAAAACACCGACCTTACCTAACCTACTTAGTATGTTAAGATTAGCATCTTATTGCTTCGTAATTACAATTATTACCTAACCTATACCTATAATAGGTTAAGTAACAATTGTAATTACGAAGCTATAGATGCTTATTTTAACATACTAAGTAGGTTAGGTAAGGTCGGTGTTTTCTATGAAGATTTTCAAGGGAAACTATTATGTTTAGAATGTCACCTATGCACGCAACTAATAAGTCAATATTGACTTATTAAATTTGCGAGAACGGGTTGCATCCTGCCCACCCTCCACCCAGCCTGTTGCTGTCCTGAATATGGCTAAAAAAATTACCAATGTTTTAATACCTCCAGATATAGTGGAGACCAGATTTAACAATCAGGGTATAGCCCAATATAGGTAGTTAAATCAAATGGATACTGTACTAATATATGGGCATGTATAAATATGCTGAATGAACTTACTGTATAACTTCTTCCTTATCTAAGGAACCAAGATTAAGAGGATCTGTAATATTTCCACCAAGTAGAAACTTTGAGGGTAAAACTCTAATCCTTTTGCGTCGCTTATTACCAAATCGAAATTCCCCCGTAGAAGAAAAGCTTATGGATCTCTTGCGCTTTGGTCTGAAATCAGGATCAGCACGGACCTTTCTGAAAAACAGAAAAAAGAAAACATTTAATAATTTTGATCATATTTAGTCAATAATTTTAGTCAATTTAATATCATTCCTGGGGTGGCACAGTGTTATCATCAGTACAAGGGATGCAATGCCTACAGTGCATTTTAAATCTTGCACTACACACCACAAATAAATTGTTTTAGGGCTATCAAATTTAAAACTCCTACACATACATGGAGCTCACATTTGCTTCCTCTGGCCTCCAATAATCGTCCCCCATCTTCTTGAAGTTACCTTGAAGTGTTTCCGGGGCTTAGTGACCAGGCCTCCTTGTTGCTGGACTGGTCAACCAGGTTGTTTGACACGGCTGCTCGCAGTCTGACGTATGAATCACAACCTGGTTGATCAGGTATTCTTTGGAGGTGCTAATCCAGTTCTCTCTTGAACACTGAGGGGTCTGCCAGTTATGCCCCTTATGTGTAGTGGAAGCGTGTTGAACAGTCTCGGGCCTCTGATGTTGATAAGAGTTCTCTCTCTGAGTACCTGTTGCACCGCTGCTTTTCAGCGGGGGTATTCTGTACATCCTGCCATGCTTCCTGGTCTCATGTGATGTTATTTCTGTGTGTCCAGATTTGGGAGCAGCCCCTCTAATATTTTCCATGTATAAATTATTATGTATCTCTCCCGCCTGCGCTCAAGAGAATACAGATTTAGGCTCTTTAGTCGGTCCCAGTAGTTTAGATGTTTTACCGAGTGGATTCTAGCAGTAAAGGATCTCTGCATGCTCTCCAGGTCAGCAATTTCTCCAGCTTTGAAAGGGGCTGTCATTGTGCAGCAGTACTCCACCCTAGAGAGCACTAGCGTCTTGAAAAGTATCATCATCGGTACAGCATCTCTAGTGTGAAAGGTTCTTGTTATCCAAACTCATTTTTCTTGCAATTGTGACAGCTACTTTATTTTGTTCTTTGGAGGTAAGGTCTTCCAACATGAGTACACCCAAATCCTTTACATTGCCTTTTCGTTCTATGTTATGATTTGACAGTTTTGGACGTGGTTTCCGTTTTTATATTTTCATTTTTTCCGTAGCGCATGAGCTGGAACTTATCTTCGTTAAACACCATATTATTGTCTATAGCCCAGTCTGTTCTGTAGCCCTAGTAGCTGTTCTGTAGCCCTATCCCCAGTAATTATCATGAAATAAATCTTGACCGAGTCCCTAACTTTTCTTCTAGGGGGGCCCCTAATATGAGGATGGGGACCATGTCTGGCACATCACCATTCAGTGTGTGTCATGCAGGGTGGCCATACTAGGAGCCACAGAACTTTTAACAAGAGCAAATGAGTGATTGCCATGTATATATATATTACAGGCAAAATGTGTACTATGTGCAGTTAAAAGATTTAGCCTTAAAATAAATTAACACTGTGCTGGTAACACAGCGTTACCTCCGCGGGGAAAGTTGGCGGCGGCTTCAGTAGGGGCGCGCCACGGTTTTGAACATTATATGCTAATACTCCTGTAAGAATTTCATTGCGAATACATTGATACCAAAATGAAAGATCTTGGACCAGAATTGAGGTAACAAAGTTGGAAAGTATACCCATTTTGTTGCTCTTGACGAGCACTCACTGGGGTAACACTCCGTCACTTTCTCTGTTTGCTGTTGGTGGTACGTCAGACTTTTGGACTTTATATTTACATATACTCCTGTAGGGAATTCTATTGTGAACACAATGATACCAAAATTAAAGACCTAGGACAAGAATTGAGATGTCCAAAGTGGAGAGAGAGTACACATTTTATTGCTCTTGCGTGCTCCTGGTAACATGCTCTCACTTTCATTTTCTCGCCCGGCTTTTGGGCTTTATATGCATTTAGTCCTGTAGAGAATTCTATTGCGAACACATTGATACCAAATTGAAAAACCTAGGATGAAAATTGCAATGACAAAGTTGAAAAGGTATACACTTTTCAGTATTCCCACGCTCTCTAATGTAATGAGGCACGCGCGTTGGCAGAGCACTTTCTGGTAACCTTGGCCCACTTTCATCTTGTCGGCGGGTCGAGCATGCTGCGGTTTTTTACATTATATGCATATACCCCTGTAGGGAATTCTATTGTGAACACATTGATACCAAAATAAAAGCCCTAGGACGTGAATTGAGGTGACCAAAGTGAAAAAGAGTGTACACATTTTATTGCTCTTCCATACTCCCGGGTAACTCACTCACTTTCGAAAGAGCTTGAAAGTGTAATGAGAATAACTGGTAAAGTAGGACGCTGGATACTCAATTTCCTGTCGAACAGAACGCAAAGAGTAACAGTCAATCAAATAAAATCAAGTCCAAGTGCAGTTAAAAGCTCTGTACCTCAAGGTACAGTACTTTCACCACTGCTGTTCCTTATTCTCATATCAGATATAGATAAAAATACAAGTAACAGCTTCGTGTCATCCTTTGCAGATGACAGAAAAATCAGCATGAAAATTACCTCTGCTGAAGACATGGAAAAATTACAAGCAGATATCAACAAAGTTTTCGATTGAGCAGCAGAAAATAACATGATGTTTAACAGCAATAAATTCCAGGTACTCAGGTATGGCAAAAATGAGGACCTGAAACATAATAGAGGGTACAAAACACAATCGAATCTGCCCATAATAGGTAAGCAGCATGTCAAAGATTTGGGAATAATGATGTCTGACAATCTAATGTTTAGGGAGCATAACCAACCAAATATTGGCTCAACCAGAAAAATGATAGGATGGATTACGAGAACTTTCAAATCCAGGGATCTCATCACAATGGTTGTACTCTTCAAGTCACTGGTGTTATTCCGTCTCGAGTACTGCTCAGTACTCACTTCCCCCTTCAGAGCAGGAGAGATTGCTGAAATAGAGGGAATACAGAGAACATGTACAGCACGCATCGACGAGTTAAAGCACCCAAATTATTGGGATCGTCTCAAAGCTCTCCAAATGTACTCATTAGAAAGAAGACGAAAGAGATACCAAATAATATACACATGGAAAATACTGGAAGGCCAGGTCCCTAATCTACACAGTAAAATAACAACGTACTGGAGTGAACGATATGGACGAAAATGCAGAATAGAACCAGGTTAAGAGCAGAGGTGCCATAGGCACAATCAGAGAACACTGTATAAACATCAGGTCTGCGGCTGTTCAACGTCCTCCCAGCGACTATAAGAAATATTGTCGGAACAACCATGGGCATCTTCAAGAGAAAACTAGACTGTTTTCTAAAAGACATTTCGGACCAACCGGGCTGTGGTGGGTATGTAGGCCTGAAGGCCGCTCCAAGCAACAGCCTGGTGGACCAAACTCTCACAAGTCAAGCCTGGCCTCGGGCTGGGCTTGGGGAGTAGAAGAACTCCCAGAACCTCATCAACCAGGTATTGCTTTGTTTGCTGTGGGTAGTAGCCGAGCTTTTGGAGTTTATATGCATTTTGTCCTGTAGACAATTCTATTACGAACACATTGATACCAAATTGAAAAACCTTGGGCGAGAATTGAGGTGACAAAGTTGAAAAAGAGTACACACTTCAGAATTACCGCGCGCTCCCGTGAAACACCCGGACCCACCTGGGATAGTGCGGGGCTCGCTTGCGCAGAGCACGAAAGTGTTAATAAAAAAAAATTATTATTCCAATCCGGTGTTCTGAGAGGACCGAGGTGATGAGGTACCAGTGAATGACAGAACAAAGAGGCAGTGACATGGCCAACCATTGGACAGTTCTGCTGGAGTGTGCTAGCATGGACGCTAGTGGAGCAATGGAAGACTTCACCACAGGAGCATGCTAGCAAGAGGGTTAGAAGGGTGCTTGAAGAGGTCACTGTAGGAGCGTGCTAGTGGAGAGCTTAAGACGTCATTGCTGGAGTGTGCTAACGAGAAAGCTTTTGCGAAATCTGAGTACAGTACAGTATATTACATCAGTGTTTTGTTTGTCTTCCATGGCATCTAAGGCCATGTCATTGTGGTCTAGCAATTGTGAGAGGCAGGAGTGCCGTGTTCTGAACCAATGTTGCCCAAGGTTATGTAGACAGTGATTCGAGATGTTTTATTATCTTATGTCTTAGCGCCTTTTCAAAAATTTTAGAGCAATCGGTGTATACTGTAATTTTTTTGCATCAGCTTTACTACAATTTTTGTGAGGTGGCACAATCTCTGCTGTTTTAAGTATGTCAGGGATAACATCAGAATCTAGGCTCTGTCTCCAAAAGATGTTTAGGGCCTGTGACTTTTTTTTTTTTAGAATTCTTGATGAATATAGAATTCCAGGAGTCTGGGCCTGGTGCAGAGTACATGGCCATGCTGTCTATGGCTACTTCAAAGTCGAGTGGGGTTAGGGTGACATTTGATTTATGGTTCAATGTGGCATCATTCATATAAATATGTACTACGTGCCTATCCCCCGACACAATGAATTATGACGACCGCATTCCCCTAGTAACATTCATGACAATAACCACGTTTGTACCATGAAATAGCACGATTTTTTTCCGTGGGTCAAAGTAAACTCCATTACATCCTAGCCCTATTATATCCATATTTGCATCATACATATAAAACCCAGACAATAATTGATTAGTCATATGATGATAACCGCATTACCCTAGGTATTATCAATAAAAGATAATAGCAACTTAAGAGTTAAAAACTACTTCCTGGGATTCTCTCTGGTATAATTATATCTGCCACATTTTTCCATTTTAGGTCCCTCAAGTTGAAGTTGTCAAGTAAGATGATTTTTGGGGCACGGTTTGAAAGGTTTTCTAAGCAGTATTCTATTTTTGTAAGCTGGTCTTTAACTGTTGAGGATTTGCATCTGGTAATTTATATACAAGGACAATTACCACATTAAGAATGTCTATTTTGAATATCAGCACTTCCACTATATCATTTGTTGTGTTTAGCAGTTGTACAGATGAGCGTGTCTGATGTACAGGCTGATCCCATCCTGTAGCCTATGCTTTCTATCACGTTTGAAAAGATTGAATTCTGGTATCCATATCTCATTGTTATATAGTGCTTTGTGAGTTTCAGTCAAAGCTGCAAACATAGCATTTGCCTTATTTAGGTGACCATTTGTAAAGTGGGCTTTGTTTTGCATGTTTTAATGCCAAGTATGTTGCCAAATAAAAGATGTTATTGTATTTCTAGAAGTGCTGGGTATTTTACTTGGTGTTAATATCTGCGGTTCTGGTAGGGATGCTACATTGCCTGTATCCTGTCCAGCATTTGACCGAAATGATGATAGTTTGGACAATTCTTACCGTTCTTTTCCTCATCTACTAAACATCCCACCGGTATGTATGGGTCTTGCTGTGTTTTTTTTTTTTTTTTTTTGCTTGGTTCCTTTGACATGAAATGTTGGACAATCTCTGAAAACATTCCTCCTTGTTTAGTGAACTTTTACACAGTTTTGGGTAGAGAAATCTGCTATTTTCAGAGTGACATGTACTTCTATTTTGGCTATTTCTGCAGTTTCTCGGGTGTTTATATCTACATATTCCAAATAGCAACAAAGCATTGTAACAACTAGGAAAATTTCTGTATTCTGCTTTAATATTATTAACCTCTTCTCCTTATTCCCCTTTCTCTCTCCCCCTCCCTCCCTTTCTCCTTCCTTGTTCTCCACCTTCCCTCCCCAGACATATCAAGTCACACAGGGCGAGGGCCACACATGGCTCTCGACCACTGGGCTTGGCCTCTCCCCTCACTATTCCAGTGTATGACAAGTTACAACAGTTGACTTATTGTCATGTAAGGCATAGCATCTAGGGCATCAGGCCATGAGAATGCTATGCCCTTTGGTCCTCAAGTAGGCCTTAGTGGGTGACTGGCTCTTTTGTGTCCAGGGGTGTGGCCTAGGAGTGCCTACAAGACTTGAGTTTCATACCAGCCTTGGCATTATGGGTCTGCCCAATTGCTCGTTTGTACGTATGCTCGTTTACCCGAAATGCTGTGTGTACAGTATTAGTGGCATTAGGCATAGTATGAACTAGCTCAATCTAGAAATACAACATTCTGTTTGTAATTCATCTTGTATGTACTTTTACCTGAATAAACATTTATTTATTATTTAATATTATCATCATTCATAGTCAATTCGTTAGCATGAGCTTAGACCTAGTGTGGGATGGGTGTTGACCAGCCCAGGGGAATGGATAACAAGCCTTACTGGCCGGATTAAGTGTGCAGAGTCAAGGTACTGTCATAGGTTTTTTTTTTAGTATTTTCCACCATTTTGCCTCTAGGATAGGATGTTAGGACATTATTTATCCGTATTAATAAATTATCAAAAGTAATTTGGCATTTTAGTTAATTTCCCTTCATTGATTTTTTAACATAACATCTTGAGCTGACTGGTTTTGGATATTTTAAGTGATTCGCTAAGCAAATTAATAACGTCTGTAATTATCAATAAGCATTAATAATTAATTCAGTAATTATCAAGAGAAAGTTCCATGTTCTTGACTTCTTCCTTACAAGTCAAGGACAAGTATGTCGGTAAATTCTACGGTGTAGACAGTGAGGATGGTGGCAGCAGAGTAACATCAATCAATATTCTTATAAAATTATTCTTTTGTACTTAATATTCAGATAGCTCTGTACAGTTGGTTGAACTCACATTCACGTGGGCCAGACTGGTGGGGTTATCTCACTGCCAGGATGAACCTTCAGTTTGTTTTATGTTGTACATATTAAATCTTTAAGCATAAATCATTAATGGTATAAATTGGTGAAGGCAAAATCTATTTCAGGATACATGGCAATAGCGGTGTTGACCAGAGTAAGCACTCACCTAGTTGTGCTTCTGGGGGTTGAGCTTTGGCTCTTTGGTCCCAACTCTCAACTGTCAATCAACTGGAGATTACTAGTACATTACTAGTGGTAACAGTACTGTTGACCATGATCAGTCATTACCAGTAAAGGGGGATCATTACAAATGGTGACTGTTACAACATGTTCCAAATTCCGAATAGTAGCAAACGTAAACAAATAAGACTGGAAAATTTAAATATAATTTTGAAACGTTTTTATGACCAAACAGCTGGAAAATTTAAATATAATATTAAAACACTCTTATGACCAGAAAGCATAGAAATTTTTTACATAAAAATAAGATAAAAGAAAATTTTACCTTGGGCTAGGAGTAGTTGACACATGAGATTGCCTATGGGTGACCAAACGTGCACCTCCCACATCACTAAAGTGCACACGGCGCTCAACCTGTGACTCGGGCAAGGTAAGAGTTGTTGGCCGCTCTACACCCAATTCAGATGACATCTTCAATGAATAACCTGGTAATAAAAAACAAATATTTCTTAACAACACACTTTATACCCAAAAGACTGAACCATTTTCAAAGTTTAGCATAATTAATGACTAATATTTTAAGAACATACAGTATGTAACTTATAAAACCAAACAACTCTCAAATTGTATTTTGATACCGAATCTAAAAAAATTGTACGATGTAAACAAAATTAAATGAAATATTTTCGTACAACCAACATGAGTTGCATTTTCACATGTAATGAATAGATTTATATGGTTAGTTGAGGATCTTAATAGAAATACTGTAAAAAAAGTAGAATGACAACCAATTTAAACTTTCTGAACCTTGGTGGAGTTATTGTCTATTTGATCACTAATTAAAGGACTTCAATTCCCTATCCTTGCCTACTGTAGTTACCTTACAGTAACCTTACTAAAAGTTACTAAAACTACCGTACAACTGCTTAACAAGTCAGCTCTGGCTGCTAACGGCCGAGGCTTTGCTGGATGAATATCTTTGACCTTTTGATCTTTCCTAATGAAAATAAAATTTTGGCTTTCCTCCTTTTTTTTGCATGGGCCTCTTTTATAATCAGCCATTTGTCCCACCTGATGTACTTCTTAACTACAGTACTTATCACTATTTGATGAATTATTAATTAATCACCACTAGTCATTATCCTGCTCCTTGCCTTCTCTCATTTCAATTGTATTGGGCTGGAGAATCTCCTCTTTCCCTCAGTACACCATATCCTGGGTCATTAATATCTTTTTCTAGCCAATTATCATCATCTTGCTTTCCTAAATCCTCAGAAGCTTGTCAGAAAATGACATGCATCTCATCTGAAAATTCTTCAAAGCTTAAGTCATCATACTCCACCACATCAAAGGAACCGTTAGAATTTTCTTCCACTAATTTTTAAAGTAGACTTTCACTAATGAATATTTTTTTTATATAAAAAAATCCATATAAACAAAATTCTTGTCATATATATATATATAAACAATGAAACCACCGATTTGAGAGAAGGGAAGAGCCAGGGTACCAAAAGCACTAGAAAATAACGTGCAATGAATGTATGATTAACTACCGTGCTGCACTTGTTTGTGAAATTACCCGTGCGCATGAAATAAAGCGTTCCTAAAAAATTGTGTTTTCTTCGTAAAATAATAAATTCCCATTCCTGAATATGTCTATGTAAAAATAATTGTGAGGGACGTGGACAAGGCGCACTGTGACGTCATCAGGGGCTGGTCGCCCGTGCATGACACGCCCAGACACGGTCCCGCGGGCCATTCAAGCACCGGGTGTTGCCACAAATATATTTTCAATTATTTGTTCTATGTAATTCCTATACAGTTTTGTTTTTTATCATATATGATGCATATTTGTGTCCTTTAGAATATGTATACAGCAGAACGTTTATAATGTTCCATGGAACTATGATACATGTGTCAGTAATGTGTCCTTAATAAATGTTTATTGTTGCAAATATTACTTGATAAAAATTCACTAAAATTACAATATGTACAGTTTCACACACTATTTACACAGTAACACTGTATTACACACTCAGTACTTCGGAAGCAAGTAATAATCAACGAAATAGTCCATGGTACACAGCGTGACTTCGCTCTCGCTGCACCAGGTACAGATAGATTTTCGCTTCCTGTTTCTTCATTCTGTGTGCTTGCAAATAACACACTCAGGTACACCCTTGGCATTAGTACCTGTAGGTGGTATGTAGCCAAGTTTGTAAAGCGTAAGGTAGTCTTGAAAAGATTACAGGAAAAGGTAAATTTGTAAGGTAGTCGTGAAAAGACCGCTTTGTAAGATCCACACAGGAAGAGATTCAGCCAGCCTCAAAAGAGTCTCATTTAAGAAGAGATTCAGCTATTCTTGAAAATATCTATGGAAAACACCGCCATGGAAGCCGCTAACACTGTTCCTCTATGCTACTTGTATTTGATGCATCATCACTGAACGCAGAAAATGAGTGATGGCACAGTTCATTTATATATCATCTAAATAAATTGGAGATAACATAGGTGGGCAAGAGTGGCGCTCAGAGCTACAACTGGATACGCTCGCTACATTGTCCTCAGAGGTGCTGTATCACTTGCATCAGACCTTTGTACTCACCTAGTTGCGTTTGCGGGGGTTGAGCTCTGGCTCTTTGGTCCCGCCTCTCAACCGTCAATCAACTGATGTACAGATTCCTGAGCCTACTGGGCTCTGTCATATCTACATTTGAAACTGTGTATGGAGTCAGCCTCCACCACATCACTTCCTAGTGCATTCCATTTACTAACTACTCTGACACTGAAAAAGTTCTTTCTAATGTCTCTGTGGCTCATTTGGGTACTCAGCTTCCACCTGTGTCCCCTTGTTCGCGTCCCGCCAGTGTTGAATAGTTCATCCTTGTTTACCTGGTCGATTCCCCCGAGGATTTTGTAGGTTGCGATCATGTCCCCCCCTTTACTCTTCTGTCTTCCAGTGTCTTAAGGTGCATTTCCCGCAGCCTTTCCTCATAACTCATGCCTCTTAGTTCTGGGACTAGTCTAGTAGCATACCTTTGGACTTTTTCCAGCTTTGTCTTGTGCTTGACAAGGTACCTGTACTGGCAACATGCTGGGGGCCGCATACTCCAGGATTGGTCTTACATATGTGGTGTACAAGATTCTGAATGATTCCTTACACAGGTTCCCGAACGCTGTTCTGATGTTAGCCAGCCTCGCATATGCCGCAGAGGTTATTCTCTTTATGTGGGCTTCAGGAGACAGGTTTGGTGTGATATCAACTCCTAGATCTTTCTCTCTGTTTCATTAAGTACTTCATCTCCTATTCTGTATCCTGTGTCTCGCCTGTTTCTGCTGCCTAATTTCATTACTTTGCATTTACTCGGGTTGAACTTCAACAGCCATCTGTTGGACCATTCACTCAGTCTGTCTAGGTCATCTTGTAGCCTCCTACTATCATCCTCTGTTTCAATCCTCCTCATAATTTTTGTGTCGTCGGCAAACATTGAGAGGAATGAATCTATACCCTCTGGGAGATCATTTACATATACCAGAAGCAGTATAGGTCCAAGGACTGACCCCTGCGGGACTCCACTTGTAACATCTCGCCAATCTGAGACCTCACCCCTCACACAGACTCCTCGTCTCCTGTTGCTTAGGTACTCCTTTATCCAATGGAGTACCTTCCCTTTCACTCCAGCTTTCTCACTAGCCTCTTGTGTGGCACTGTATCAAAGGCTTTCTGACAATCCAAAAATATGCAGTCTGCCCACCCTTCTCTCTCTTGCCTTATTTTTGTTGCCTGGTCGTAGAATTCAAGTAACCCTGTGAGGCAGGACCTGCCATCCCTGAACCCATGTTGATGCTGTGTTACAAAGTTTCTTCGCTCCAGATACTCCACTAGCTTTTTTGGCACAATCTTCTCCATCAGCTTGCATGGCATGCAGGTTAGGGACACTGGCCTGTAGTTCAGTGCCTCCTGTCTATCCCCTTTCTTGTATATCAGGACTACATTAGCTACTTTCCAAATATCTGGCAGTTCCCCTGTTGCCAGTGATTTGTTATACACTATGGAGAGTGTTAGGACCTTATTTGTGTTAGGTCCTTATTGCGCCTAGCTTCACCAATGATATGACCCTTATGTTCTTCAAACAATAAGGTTTGAATTTCACTGACAGTGTGCGAGCTTTCAACACCACGTCAGACAGGTGTTTGGGAGCCAGAGGCCCCACCCAATTGTTGCTCACTCAGTACTAACCCAGACAGCAGCCCTAGGGCATTCTGGGAATTTTTTCCAATATGGCTGCCTCTCACTGGAGGTCGTAAGAGTCCATTTTGTACACTACCAACCTCGCACATACTGTATTTAGAATGGGTACGAAAAAATCAAAAAGAGTTTTCTCGATTGGTGCAGTTTCCCACTGACCGAGAATACATGTACTAGGTTGGCACAGTCAAGTGGTTAACCAAACTAAAAAGTCGCTATATTAATACTGTATATACATACACACACAATATGTATGGATAATATAAAATTTTAAAATTAAAATTTTAAATTTAAAAAAAAATACAATAATACAATCTCTCACACACATTATATATATAATACACATATATTATATAAAATTATATATTTTAATTATTTCCCCCCCTCCCCCCAGGACAGAACCTCCAAGCAAAAGATGGATTCGCCCAATACAAGGGTGCGTAAATCACGCCGGCAAATATTGTATGATAATATTAATTTAAAAAGGGAAGGGGGGGGGGGGAGATAAAATCTCCTCCCTTGCCCAGAAGGCACAAGGGCCCAAGCAGGGGCAAAAGGAGCCCAAGTGCTCCAAGCAGACTTCCCCCAAGCCCTGGGAACCCACAACAAAGGCCCCGAATTGGAAGGGGCAGCACCCGAAGCCACCCAAGCCTCATCCAGAACTAAACCCTGCTACAACCCTGAAACCCTCAGATGTTCGGGAGCCAGAATCAGTGGGGGAAGGAGCAGGGCAAACCATGCCCACCTGGGAAGGAAGCAGGGGCACGGAAGGAACCACAGTCTAAGCGAACAACATCCCCAAATCCTGGTCCATAAGACCCAAGTAGGGCATCTCCCGGGCCCTCCAACCAGGCAACCAACATGGCTCATTGCTGTAAAGAAAATAATGAAAGTGAAGTACAAGCAAGGAACAAGGCCTGCAAGACTCCAGGTCGGTGGTGTCCCCAACCCAACAGGTAATGTGACGAAGTCAGTTCGGATGATTGTTTCCCTCAGGCAGGGGCAATGAACAACCTTCGACTTCACACAAGGCGAGAGCAGGCTCATAAGAAGTAGCTATTGTAAGACAGACCCCACAGGTTTTCCAGGGTCTGTAGGGTGAATTAGTCCTACTGAAATCCCAGACACTGGGGCCACCTAGGCCGGTAGAATCCTTTCAGTTAGCAGGCAAACTGACCACCATCAGCAGTTATGAAACCTTGGAGGCAACAGAAGAGGACGACAAACACAACCTTGGCTTGTATAATAAAAAGCCAAGCAAACCACCTTTGTCTACACAAGACGAGAACACCAGAGAATGAAAAGAAAATGAAAACAAAAATCCCCGAAGATACAATAAACAAACTAGCAGAGAGAAACATCAGTCGCTGCATTGAAGTAAAGTTATCTGCGCCACCTGCAGTAACCTCTGTAAGCTAAACAAATGGGGGGGACAAATGGATACTACCATACAGTTTAATCATAATTAATATAAAGTAATGAGGTTTGTGAAAGGGAAGAGAAGACAGGACCGGTCGGCCGACAGCACGCTGGACTTGTGATCCTGTGGTCCCGGGTGCCAGCGAGAAACAATGGGCAGAGTTTCTTTTACCCTATGCCCCTGTTACCTAGCAGTAAAATAGGTACCTGGGTGTTAGTCAGCTGTCACGGGCTGCTTCCTGGGGGTGGAGGCCTGGTTGAGGACCGGGCCGCGGGGACACTAAAAAAGCCCCGAAATCATCTCAAGATAACCTCAAGATATCTCAAGATAGGACAGAATAGTATAGAAAGGGAGCCAACTGCAAGAATCAATCAAGGAATAGAACCTAGAAGTGAACATAACACATGGAGGTTGCTTCCACACACATTCCCATGTGTGGAAGCAACCTCCACACATGGGAATACTGAGTGGTATAAGTTAAGCAGTGCACCAGGAAGGCACAATCAAACTTGAATGAGTTCAGAGAAGGATAAAGTTAATCCCAGATAAAAAAAACTTTCATATGAAGAGATATTAACCCTTGAACTACTGTCAATCGCAAATGATTGGTTCATGGTGCTGTCACTAGTGAATTATTTAAATGTACCTCTTTAATATTCAAAGTTTCTAAATAATCCACGTGGTTGTTATTGTACACTTAAGACCTCGAGCAATTGTTTGCCATAGTGGGACAAAATTCTGAATGTACTAGTTACCTTCCAGGGATTAAAAAAAAAAAAAAAAAAAAATTTAGGTGCATCACCATCCATTTACTAACATCTAAACATCTATGCTTGAAAACATTGATTGCAAAATTTCATGAACTTGTATGGGACAGGAAGATGTGTTAGGTAGAAAATCAATTACAAAACTTACTTGGTAGTAAATCTTTAGAACACAACGTCTTCAACATTTCATCTCATTACAGTCAAACAAATAATTAAAATCTGTTTATTCCCAACAGTATTCCCAGCATCCGATATCAATGTTCCATAACATAATGAGAAAGAATTTTGCATAACTTTTTATGCATACCTATTAACCCTCAAAGTGTGCCGTTTGAGGGTTACAAACAATTTAAATTTACATTCTTAAGAAGGACAGAGTAAGGGGTGACAAGATTGAAGAATACAAATTGATAAAAGGGCACAACAAAGGCAGTATATATTAATACGGTGTTAAATACATATTGTACTCACAAAATAGCACTAGAAACAATGGATATAAATTGGACAAGATTTAGGAAAGAGCTGGGTAAATACTGTAGGGCGATTGATCTATGCAACACATTACCAAGAAACATAAAAAGATGTGGGGGTTCATTTGATTGTTTCAAGCTTAGGGGTCACTCAAGTTTCCTCAATTCTTACATTCTTAACCTTCTTATACATTGAAAATATTCTCAGCACACACCCTTATAATCCTTAAGACACGCACAAACCTACAGAAATTAGGTTTAACTGACGGCAGCATTGTAATTTACTTGCCACCTCAAGTTGTCATGTTAGCTTATGACATTTGGTAGGTCTAAGTTTACTTTAGTACAATCTGAACTGTGTAAAGCGTCCCAACATATAAAATGAGCTAAAACACCGATCAAATTCACGACTGACTTACAATCCTATGGTCTCCTTATTCTTGACATAAATGTTATAAAAACGAATATCTAAGGGAATAAGAATACTACAATTAAATAACCTGCATGTCCTTAGTGATTGCCAATCATTCACTACCTGTGACACTATCTAATTAACCTAATTTTCAATCACGTTAATTGTGCCCAAAATAGCTAAATCAGATGAGGGACCCGTGACTGGTATCGCCCTTATTGCCTCAACTCGACACTGCCAACCAACACGTGTAACAAATAACAATATCCTCGGGGACTCCGAGGAGGGGGACATATCATCCTAACAGTAGGAAATCCTTATAGATAATAGAAGCCATCAGAGTGGCGGAGCTTTGAAGGGAGCGCGCAGGTAGGCGATGGTGGAGGCTGCGCATGCGCACTCCCCGCCCACCATCATCCTCGCCACAGCCCCTCGCGCACACAACACCCACTATTACACTCCCTTTTTCACACCCATCGCCGCCAACTCGGGCGGCTACACCCGCACGGCACCATAGTGCGACGCCTCACACACCCACCTGCACACTTAACACTCCGCAGCTAGTCGCACTTAACGAGAAAACGACATCTTTGTGTCCCCTGAGCCTCAGACCTCCTCGAGCCAGGACACGAACGTTCCGTCTGCGTAAGGATGGCGACCAGCGCACCACAGAAAACGGAGCTACGCTAGGGTCACTGGGTCCACCAGATGCATTTATTTGGCCACTTTTTTACATATATATGGAAGCATTTACACTCAATTTAATAGCCCTGTGAATAGTTTTGCCTTGCAATAACTTGATTTAATTATGGTCGCTTTATTTGCAATGCGTATCAGCCAGCGTAAATTAAAAATAATACACAGCCAGAAGCGTATCATATCTGTGTAAGTAACAAGTGCTCTCTCAAATGGGAGGTAAATACGCAATAATGTTTTATTTTCCCCTCTTCGTGACATTTACCAAATTAGTTTTGTGTGCAATATTTTAACTAAAATATATATATAAATATTAAAGACATAAATACAGCGATACAAATTCAAGCAATAAAGGCATATTTAATTAAAAATATATATATGTACATAAAGCATTAAAGTATTCACTTAATTAGGCCCCCCCCCCCCTACACATAAGTGAGGGGAATATTGCTATTTCTTCTTGATATTTCTGTTATTATTATTCTTCCTGTAACAGACGACTACCAAATGAGATATGATACGTAGCCAATCTGTATCTATAAGGATGAGTGTCTGACTTTCCAAGGTTGGAGGCCAGAAGCCTGGGGTTAGCCTCACCTAACTTTGCAGAGTGAATGGTCTGGATACGGAACGAACATAGGCTGTTCGGCGTGGGGGCAAACAGTGATCTCCCACCTAATCCTGCAGGGGGACAGAAAACATTAGAATGAAGGTAACTGCAGAAGGCTTATTAGCCCATACGAGGCAGCTCCTATTTATATCCACCCAAACTTATTAATATATGTCTAACCTACGCTTGAAACACTTAAGGGATCCTACTTAAGAACATAAGAATATAGGTAACTGCAGAATAATGCCTATTTGAGAAGGCCTATTGGCCCATACGAGACAGTTCCTATTTATAACCACCCAATCCCACTCATATACATGTAGAACCCACGCTTGAAACACTTAAGGGACCCCACCTCCATCACGTTACGTGGTAATTGGTTCCACAAATCAACATCTCTGTTACCAAACCAGAATTTACCCTGGTCTTTCCTAAATCTAAAATTATCCAATTTATACCCATTGTTTCATGTTCTGTCTTGTGTTGATACTTTTAGTACCCTATTAATATCCCCTTTGTTATTTGCATTCATCCATTTATACACCTCTTACATGTCACCCCTAATTCTTCGCTTTTCTAGAGAATGTAATTTAAGCTTTGTTAATCTTTCTTCATATGACAGGTTTCTAATTTGGGGAATTAACTTTGTCATCCTACACTGGACGCGTTCTAGCGAATTTATATCCATTCTATAGTACGGCGACCAAAACTGAACTGCATAATCTAAATGGGGCCTAACCAGAGCAAGATATAGCTGAAGAACAACACCAGGTGTCTTATTACTAACGCTTCGATTAATAAATCCCAGTGTTTTATTTGCCTTATTATGAACATTTATGCATTTATTTTTTGGTTTTAAATTCTTACTAATCATAAGTCCCAGATCCCTTTCGCAATCTCAACACAATCTAGCTCGTATCTTGTAACTCTATCATCATTACCTAGCCTCAAAACCTTACATTTATCAGCATTAAACTACATCTGTCAATCTTTTGACCATTTCAAACCCCTCTTTAGATCGTCTTGAAGTGATAGTGAGTCTTTTCCGTGTTTATTTCCCTCTCGATTTTAGTATCGCCAGCAAATTTGCAAATATTGCTGCTCAAACCTGAATATAAATCATTTATATATATATATATATATATATATATATATATATATATATATATATATATATATATATATATATATATATATATATATTATTAACTGTACCCGGCCACGCAATGCTGAGCCACAGCAATCTACCCCTGTCTCCCAGTCCTCTCCACTATTTCCCCTCCCCCATCCCCTTGTCCTCCCAACCATTCCTCACTCCCCAGTTCCCTCGTCCTGCCTAGCATTTCCCCTCTCCCCCATCCCCTCGTCCTCCCCACCATTCCCCACTCCAACATCTCCTCGTCCTCCCAACCATCTCCCACTCCCCCATCCCCTCGTCCCCCTTACCATTTACCCCTTCCCCGTACCCTCGTCCTCCCCTCCATCACCTACTCCCCTGTCTCCTTGTCTCCACCATCCCCAACTCCCATCCCCTCGTCCTCCCCACCATTCCCACTCCCTTGTCCAATGCATTTTCAAATGATCTAATGTTTCTATTAGATAATTGGGAACATCAAATGATCTGATGCTCCCATCACTGAAATATAAGATAAACAGTTAAAAAACGAAATGAAAAACTATGAAAAATAAAAAAAATAAACTATATTCACGAAATGAACAGTATGGTAAACAACACAGCTCAATTCCAACGCAATGCCACAAAATAATTAAATCAAAATGAAAATAAATCGAAATCTATGAAAATTCAATTTGTCAATGCAATCGGAAATATTGAAATGGAATCGTAACATATTTAGTATAGCATGTGTTGCTCTTACGTGCAACAGATGGTGCTGTTTCTTAAAAAAAAAAATGTTTTTTACCTGTCACAGGTATATGGCATCTATACTTATACCTACAAAATGAACGGTATGGTAAACAGCACATTTCAATTCCAATGCAATGTCACACAAAATAATTAAATAAAAATGAAAATAAATTTAAATCTATTAAAATTCAATTTATCAATGCTATTGGAAAAATTGAAATGGAATCATAACATATTTAGTATAGCGTGTGTTGTTATTGCGTGCAACAGATAAGGCTATTTTTCAAAAAGAGCATGTTTTTTCTTGTCACAGTTGAGGCATGTATATAGTAGGTAAGTAAAGTAAATTATATTCAGGAAAGTACATACATAGTTGATTTACAAACATAATGTTGGATTTATAGATAGAGCTAGTACATACAATACCTAAAGGCACTAGTATGTATAGTGTTTCGGGCTATGTAAAAATATGCGCCAATTCGAATGCAACGTTGTGTCAAAGTTTCAAATGAATCGGTAAAGAGGTTCCCTGACATGAAAAACCCAGTTATTCAAAAAAGCATGTTTTTTCCCGTCACAGACATGACATCTATACATATGTATATAAAACCCCGCTTGGATGCGAATGGAACGTTGTGTGAAAATTTCAAAGCAATCGGTGAAAAACTTTCGATTAGCGGTTTAATTTGAACAAATGAACATTTTCATATTTATTTAAATAGATGAATAACAGAGGTCCCAGGACTGAGCCTTGAGGCACTCCCCTTACAACATTTTCCCAGTCTGACTTAAACCCACTAATACCTGCTCTTTGTTTCCTTTGGTATTGCCATGCTCTAAAACAACTTAATATGCCCCCAATACCGTGAGCCTCTAACTTTTTAATCAGTCTTTCATGTGGCACTGTATCATGTGGCACTTTCATGTGGCACTGTATCATGTGGCACTGTATCATGTGGCACTTTCGTGTGGCATCAATTTACAAAAACACGAGGTTAAAACACGAGTCACTTGTCAGTCACAGTGAGAGGGTATGTTAGCTGGAGCTCCGATTGTAGTAATATTATCATATCAATAATGGAAGTTGTAGTGAAGGAATTGATGAATCTAGTTGGATAGTAGATAGTGGTATGGAAATTGACATAGAGAAAGGAGGTAATAAAAGTATGTTTGTGGGGGAAACATATTGGCAAAATGATCAGGGGAAAGAGAAGGGCCTCAAAATAACAATACACTTAGAGTATATTACACTAACAGTAGAAGTCTAAGAAACAAAATAAACGATTTAAATGCTCTTGTCTGCACAGAAAAAAATAGATATTGTTGCACTTACCGAAACGTGGATGAATGTAGAAAATAGAGAACTATTAGCTGAATGTTAAATAAATGGATTTAAACTATGTCACACAGATAAATATATTAGACGAGGAGAATTTGAAATGTAGTCTCAAAGAGGGAATCAAAACTGAGCCGCACACACAAACTATTTGGATAGAATTAAACGAAAAAGCAAATAACCGTATAATCGGAGTTATATACAGGCCACCAAACTTAGACAGGATGGAAGCACAGCATCTATGGGATGAAATATCTTGAGCATCTAAGTCTAGCAGCATTTGTGTCGTGGATGACTTTAATTGTAGTGGAATAAATTGGTTTAACAGAACAGGGAATAATGAAGCAGAAGATTTTTTTTGAATTAATTAACGATTGCTTTCTTACACAACATATTAAGGAACCAACACGGGAAAATAATATTAAAGATTTAGTGTTAACTAACAGGGAAACACAAATTAATGACATCGAAATAGGAAGTGAGCTAGGGAAAAGTGATCACAAAGAAATCAGATTTAGCATAGAATGGAATAGATCTGTAGGAGAAAATTGTGTTAAAGTGCCAGATTTTCGAAAAGCTGATTTTAATAGCCTAAGATTTTTTTGTCAAATAGATTGGAAAGTCTTGGGCATCGGGGGTGGGCCGGTCTTGGAGCGAGACATGAACCCAGCGATAGGTGACGTAAAAGGGGATTTCGATGGAGATTTAAAATATAACTTATTTAAAAATATTCCAAGCAAAGCACAGGAACGTAGTTTACCATACAAATTGAATAGTTCGAATACTAATGACCCAAAGTGGATAACAAAGGATCTGAAGAACCTTATAGGTATAAAGAGAGCGTGGTATAAAAGAATTAAGAATGGGGAGTCAGTTTAGAACAGGAATTCGTACAACTGGTTAGAAATGTTAAAAAAGAGATAAGGAGGGCAAAAAGAAACTATGAAGTTCGCATAGCAGAGCAAGCAAAGACCGATCCTAAAGGGTTTTGTCAGTTATATCGAACAAAGATTAGGGAAAGGATAGGTCCATTAAAAAAGTGAGACAGGTCAGATAACGGATAATGACGAAGAGATGAGTAGTATTTTTAATAAATATTTTATAACTGTATTTACTAAAGAGGAACTTAACACTATGCCTTCAGCCGAACAAGTCTATGTG